ATTTTTAAAGTTTTTGGAATTTTTTTGATACAAATGGGCAAAAATAGAAATTGCTAACATGTTAAAATAAAACATCAATGAAGATGTACCATAGATAAGTGACAATTGTCATAATCGTTGTTTTTAAAGTTTTTTGAAATTTTTTGATACAAAAGGGTAAAAATATAGATTGTAAAAATGTCAAATTAAAATTTCATGAAGATGTACCATATAAAAGTGACAATTGCCATAATCGTTATTTTTTAAAGTTTTTAAATTTTTTTGAAGCAAATGGGCTAAAATATAAATTGCTAACATGTTAAAATAATATTTCAGTGAAGATGTACCCTAGATAAGTGATAATAGTTATAATCGTTATTTTTAGGTTTTTGAATTGTTTGACGCAATTGGATAAAAATTTAAATTGTTAACATGTTAAAATAAAATTTCAGTCCTAACAAAAAAACAAATCGATATTTTCAATCTCATAATCGTTGTTCCTATTATCCTGCTTAAAATTTGATAAAAATATGCAAAGTGATTAGTAAAGATAGCTGTAACCTATGTTAATTTCTAAACTTTTAAGATATGGATTCACAATCTTATTCCTTTAATTAATAAATTTTAATTCTACATTATAAAAATGTATAACCTTGCATTCACAGTTAGCAAATATTTTTGTATACTCGTGGCAAAATAGTGATGAGTTTGAATTCAGGGTAGGATTTTTATAGAAAGAACTTAAAAACCATATGAATATTATTTAGTAATATGATACAATTAACATCCTATAAATTTAATGTTAAGATTTTATTATGGTTAAAATGGATTACAATCTATATTTTATTTAACCCATTTACATCAAAGACCTTTATAAATAACGATTATAAAATTGTCACTTTTCAATGGTATATCTTCATAAAATTTTAATTTAGAATGTTTATAATCTATATTTTAATCCATTTGCAACAAAAATATTCAAAAAAACCTTATTAACAACAATTATGACAATTGTAACTTATCTATGGTACATCTTCACTGAAATTTTATTTTAACATGTAAGCAATTTATATTTTTGCCCATTTGCGTCTAAAAAATTCAAATAATTTTAAAAATAACGATTATGACAATTGTCATCTTTCTATGGTGCATCCTCATGAAATTTTAATTAACATATTTAGAATCTATATTTTTACCAATTTACGTTAAAAAAATTTTAAAAAGTTTAAAAATAATGTTTATGATAATTGTCACTTATCTAGGGTACATCTTCACTGATGTTTTAAATACTTATTTTAACGCATTTTGGTCAAAAAAATTCAAAAAACTTTAAAAATAACGATTATGACAATTGTCACTTTTCAATGGTAGATCTTCATGAAATTTTAATTTAGCATGTTTACAATCTATATTTTTACCCATTTGCAACAAAAAAATTCAAAAAACTTTATAAACAACGATTATGACAATTGTCACTTTTCAATGGTAGATCTTCATGAAATTTTAATTAAGCATGTTTACAATCTATATTTTTACCCATTTACAAAAAAAAATTCAAAAAACTTTATAAACAACGATTATGACAATTTTAACTTATATCTATGGTACATCTTCACTGAAATTTTATTTTAACATGTAACAACCTATATTTTTGCCAATTTACGTCAAAAAATTGTAAAAAAACTTTAAAAATAATGATTATGACTATTGTCGCTTTTATATGGTGCATCCTAATTGAAATTATAATTTAACATGTTAAAAATACATATTTTGGTCCATTAGCGTTAAAAAAATATAATATGTTTAAAAATACCGATTATGATAATTGCCATATTTCCAAGGAACATCTTCATTGAATTTATAATTTAACATCTTTACAATATAAATGATATTTTTATCCTTTTGAGTCAAAAAATTTCAAAAATCTTAAAAATAACGAATATGACAATTGTCACATTAAAATATTATCCTTAAAAAGATCATAAAATAACATAAATAAGTTAAAAATAAATATTTTAAAAAAAATTATTTAGAAAACCCACCTCTTTTAATATACTTAAGAAATTAATTTTACAAAAATGATAAAAAAAAACTATAAAATATTTCAACTAAAAATTGTATATTTATAAAAAATTTCACAAAAGAATTCCTCAAAAATGATATATTTACAAAGAAGATTTAAAATTTTTATCATAATATTTTCAAAAGTTTTTTTGCTTAAAATTTTGGGCGTGTGAAAATCACTGATAAATTGTAACAAAAATAATATTACAATAGTAGCATATTATTTTTTATTAAAAAACATCAAATAATAAATAATATGTTGTTTTCTTTTAAATAAATGCATTCGCAATATATTTATTGTTTCGCGGTAATGCGCTCGCGATAATGACTTCGCGCAAACATATTCGCGATAAAAAATTTGCCGTAAAGTGTTCGTGTAAAATGTTTCGCTAAAATGTATTCGCTCTAATAAATTCGCGGTTAAGGTTTCGCGGAAATAAATTCGCGACAATGGCTTCGTGAAATTGTCTTCGCTATAAATGTTTCGTGGAGATAAATTAACAGAATTGGTTTCGCGATTTTACCTTCGCTATAAAAAAATTTCGCGATAAACGACATTCGCGATAAAAGTTTCGCGAAGAGTGTTTCGCGATAAAAGTTTCACTGAATTGACCTGATACGATTAAGGGGAGGGGTATTTTAATAAATTAAAGTTTTTTTAAAGGGTTATTAACTCTCGATATTTATTAAAATGAAATATAAAATTGAGAAAGGGGTATTTATTGGAATTATGAGGGTATGGAAGTAGAGAATTTACATTGAGTATTTAATGTGGTAAAAGTAGAAAATTTATTATAAAAATATATATAAAATAAAATTTTTGTGGTAGAAAATTTTTATGTGATTATATATATGAAATTTTATAAAAATGTAAAATTAGTGATTATCAATATGGTAAAGATATAAATTTGTATAATGTGTAATTTATAAAAAATATCTAAAATTAGATTTTTGTGGTAAAATTTTTATATAATTGGAGTCTTTCAATGGGTTGATATGTGTGTTGGTCCATTTTCAATTAATGTTGAAATATTAATGTGATCTATTGTGAATGTTGTGTTAATGTTATTTCATTTTGAATTGACTGTTCATTTGTAATTAATGAATTAATGTGGCATATTATATTTTGAATGGTGTGTTAATATTAGTTTAATTTTAAAACATATAAATTATTTAATTTTAATTGATAAATATATATGATATATTTTTTAAAGAAATGTTATCATTGTTAAAACATATGATATAATCATTTATTCTTAAATGCTAAAGGTGATCCATTTAAATTTAAAGAAATCTTATCATTAGGATTAGTTTTAATGATAAGTTGTAAAGCATTTAAATTTTAAGAAATTTTATCATTATGATAAAATTAATGGTAAGGCATGAAAAATATAAATATTATCATTATGATTTGTTGTAATGATGAGATGTAAAACATTTAAATTTAAAGAAATTTTATCATTTTAATTTGTGTTAATGATAAGGTGTAAAATATAGTGTTATTATTTTGATGTGTTTGTAATGTAATGAGTGTCAAACATCATTTGATTTAAAGATATCATTTAATTAAGTCCATCATGTCCAACAATTATGTAACAATATTCCTTTCCCATCTTATTTTTTTGAAAATTAAATTTTTATTTGAAAAAAAATATTTCCTTGATGTATATTTAATAAAATTATAACATTTAATCTATATATTTTTTCATTGTGATTATGTCACTTAATCATTTTTTTACGTTTCCCACTGTTCAATGATTATGTTAATAATATTACTTTCCATTATCTTATTTTTTTTTTAATTAAATTTTTATATGAAAAAAATATCACCTTGATTATGTATATTTAATAAAATTGTATTTAGATGTAATTTATATTTTGATTGTTAGTCATTTATAAAGAAATATATATTATATATGTTTGATTAAAAAGAAAATGGTTTACATATGGAAGTAATGGTAGTAAGGAACTCTGACTCAAATTGAACACGTGAAAAAGATTATGAGATGATGGTATCAGATAAACTGATGAAAAATAGCGAATTTTGGATATTATATAAAAAGATAAAGCGAATCTTAGAAATTAAATGAAATATTTTTTTTTTGGAGAATGTAACATGTGATATGTGAAGGGTGGGTGTGATGTAATTGTGTATTTTTACATTATATATATATAAATTTTATATAATATCTTATGAAAAGATTATATGTTATACATGTAAAACATCAATATGATATCAATCATATTGGGTTAGAGAGATGAAAGTGATCATCTGACTAACAACTCCTATGTTGAATAAAATTTATTTTGTTAAATGAGAAATAAAATATTTTATGGAAATTAGATTTACTTTAATAATTTAAATTGTTTTGTTTCTAATGTTAAAAATTACACTAAATATGTATATTTAATAAAATTGTATTTAGATGTAATTTATATTTTGAAGGTTTAAAATTTATAAAATTTTTGCACATTGTTATGTCTATGTAAATATAAATTGAATATTTACATTATTCGTATTCAATTTATATTTTTGAATTGATAATTATATTATTCATATTTGTACATGATTTGTTAAAATTCGATTATTAAACTCTTAAAAAATATTTTTTAAAATGGATTATTAAAATTTAATAAAGTAATTTATAGATGTGAACAATATGTAATAAAATAAAAAGCTCTATAATGAACATGTTATAAATATATTTAAGAAAAATTTCATAAATTATTTCAAATAATTCGATCAAATAGTTAAAAATTTATTTTACAGATAATATATTTTATCTATTGATATTCATTTCAAAAAATTTTGTTATTCATTTTCATAAGAAACAAATCAAATAATTTATTTTAAGTTTATATAGATATATGGATATAGATAAATAATATATTTACACATTAAATATCTTGCTATTTAGAGGGGGAACCATATTATATATTGATAAAAATTATTTTACCTGCTCAATGCTTGTGGCAAACTAGATATGACTGGACCATAACCTGCAGAATTGTCAAACAACTCAAATAAGGGTGCTGCCACCAATTTATAATTCTTAGGTACAGCAAACAAAGCTTAATTAAATAAAATTTAATGGGACATGTCATTAATTAAATTTAAAATAATAAAAGAATTATTTAAAAATATTTTGAAAATTATGAATAAAATTTATGCTGAATTTCCAAATTTTAATTAAATAAATATTTAAAATTTTAGTTTAGAATTTGTAGAATCTGCTATATTTTAAATAATATATAACTTTTCTTGCTACATCAAAAAAAAATTTTTTAACTAAACAATATAATAAATATTATGAACCTTTATCTGGTAATTGGCAAAGAAATAATTTTTTATGCTCTTTTGGCTTTGTAACATGTGGTGGTATATATGGATACTTAATGAAAATAAATTGACATAATTAAAAAAAATTCTGATTTAAGAAAAATATACCTGTGGGGGTTCAAAATTTGGCCTCCACCAATTTCCTAATGTATCTTCAACAACCCAATCAGTTAGAATACTGTCATCTTGTTTGTTGCCAACAGTCTATTAATAAATAATTATAAATGTGTGATATATGTATAGTTATAACTTCCTTGAGAAGCCTTTTCAGACCTTCAACTTCATCTTCTCCTGGTTTCAATTCTCCTCCTGGTCTTAAAATAAAGGCATTATTAAAATTTGATAAATTGTTTACAGTTTAAAAAATGTAGTTCCCAATTGCAATAAAAGTACATGTGGCAGATGGTGTTCATGAACTAACAATACAGCTTCAACAGAACGTCTCATACCTAATTTATCAAATTCATCTCTCATTCTTTGGAATCTGGCGGCAACTGATGCATCTTTCTCCAAAAGAGCTTCTTTGGTTCCAAAAGTATAATTTGTTAATGGATATCTATGAATATATAAGAAAAGCACATAGAAATAATCTGAATTACAAATTTAAAGATCGATTGAGGGTTAATGAAGTTGGTGTATATGTTGTATAATGAGCACTACATTTTTTAGACCAAGAAGTTGAATGTCCATTTTGCAAACTTAATGTCATTTCGAAAAATTTAAAAGTTTACCCAAAAAGAGTGCAATAAATTTTGTTCAAAGGCTCTAAACCGTGACCGCTATGTAATGAATGTTTATTTGAATTGGTGTTAAAGATTTGTAGGGAAGGGGAAATACAATTTTTTATATTATATATAATTCATTTTATTACTTACTAATTGAATATGAATAAATGTTTATTTACATTATATTTTAAAAATATTGTCACAAATGACAAATATGATACCACTGTTATCTGTACAGATTAAAAAATATATATAAATTTTAAAAATTCTATTATCTGATTTGTTCGTTTTTATTTTTTGAAAATATTTCATTCGCCCCGCAATTTTTTATATTTTTATGTACGAACCTGGAATTTACTACGACATCGAGGATCAGCGTCCACACTACATGAACGGGGGAGGGGGGGGTAGTAACAGTTTTTGAGGAGAGTAGGAGGTAGGCGGCTTTAATAGGGGTAGTATACATTTGGGGGGGGGGATTATCTATTATATTTTTAGATCAAACAAAATTTATTGCTGTAAAAATTAATACTTTTATTATAGACCTATTATAATACAATTCATCAACCAGATCTATATATTGCAAACAATAATAGATACTATTTTCCAAATAAAACTTTCTGCTATCCTTTCAAATATAATTTAAAAGGTTTAGACATTTTTAGCAAGCTCATAATGCTATAATAATGAAATTCATTGTGGACGATGGGGGTTTTAATTGAATTCATTATCTAAAAATAACTCCTTTATATTCACAAAATGTCGATAGTTGGTAGTAGAGATAAAATAATATAAGTTATTTTTTTTTAATCTTCTGAAAGAATATCATTATAATTAAAAAGGTGAAATTAAAAATAATGAAAGGATTTTTTTAGGTGGGGTAAGCATATGTTTTTGAAGGGGGTTTGCATCCAGTGAAAATCATGTCATGTAGTCGCTGTCGAGAGTTCATTATTATTTATATGAACATTAAGTTTGACAAATTATTTCCTCCTCGACTCTCCAATTATCTATCATTATTAAATTCATAAGATGAAAGCCTCTTTCACACTCGGTAGTATTGCGGGAAAAAGTATCCTTACATCGGGATTACCAAGGTCCACCCCCCCCGCCTTCCTTTTAATTAAATTTAGTTTCGAAACTTGGCCCCTTTATAAAATTTTGGCCTCCAAAATGGCCCCAAAAATTTTACAAGCCCCGATATTTTAAAAAAATATTAATTATTATTTATTAATTAGCCATTAACATTTAATTCTAATTAAAAAACAAAATCTTCTTGTTACTAAAATCATATAAATTGAATAAACAAGAAAATACTTATAAAAATATTGTTTATAAAATATCAATTCACTCATTAACCATTAAATGCAAAAACAATAAATAATATCCGTATTTTTTATTCCTCAGCAAAAAGACTATTGATGAATTTATAATTTCTCGTAATGATCTAAACTACTTCCTGAACCTGGGATGTCATCAAGAACAATTGAAAAATATTGTAAATATTCCAAGCTACTTCTTTTTATTACACGATCATACTTAAACGATAATTAGGCCAATTTTAATATGATACTTCAAAAAATTGAAAGAGAATAAACTTGGCATTACTTTTCAAAAGTGAAATAGAACACATTTAATAGTAATAATAATTATAGCTCTAAAATTATTTTATTTAAGAAAAATATGGTAAATAAATTTGCCTTACAATATCCTTTTTGGGATCTGCAAAAATAGTTTTTAATTTGCTTTTTATTTGAAAAATTATCTAGGTGTTGACTCCTCTTCTATACCTAAATCTTTAAAAATTAATTACTGAAAATATCTAATAGTAGAGCAAAATTGCACATCGTCGGAATTTGTTAATTAACATCTTAAACTTATAGAGTTTAACGATAATAAATTAGTAAATATTGAGATTGAAAACCAAGAGTATTAGATACAAATTATATGACAAGATTAGCACATAAACATTTACAACAAGCATATGATTCCACTTTTAGTGACTAAGAGCAAGAATGCCATATTCTGCTCAGTTATTTGCCGAATCTGGATGTCCTAAATTTTGGGGGAGAAAATAGGATCGAACTTCCCAATCTTTCTACCCTAGCCAAAAAATAATTGTGTGTTCCGGCAACTAGCACACCTATTAAAAGAGAGTATATCATCCCTATGTCTGAACATGATAACTATTAAATTGTTTTCACACATAATAACTATAACAAAATTGAATTTAAATTTATAATTTGTTAAATCTTTGCAATAAATATTTAAAAAATATGCCGATTATTCCGTGTATATATTAATTTAGCTTTTCTTTAAAAAATAATTTAGCATTTAAAAAATTAATCTTGGTGCGCCAATTTGTACCACCTGTGTTGCGACTTCTAAAAAACGGCGCGCGGCCGGCCGCTTATTAGATTTTTAAAACTCGCGCTGGCCACCGATAGTTTCAACGGCGCACTTATTATGGATCAATACATATAAAATATTATAATGATATATATAAAATTTAAAAAGGACGAATATTTTATTTACGAAAATGACAATTATTTTACTAGGAAGAAGACGAATACACTATTACCAATTTTCCCAGTGGGGTAAAGTGAGTCACCCTCAAGCACCTTGAGGTATTTAGGGGGATATCTTACATTATAATAGCTTATTGCCATATATAATTTCAATATTTACATTTTTCACATTGTATTTCGAATTTAGAGAACAATTTTATTTTTATATAATTTTAATTTTATAGTGTTCATTGTAGTGTTATAAATATTATGATAGAAATTTTTAATAAAAATAAAATTTCTTAGAGAATCAATAAAAGATAGTGGAAAACATAAGGTTTTTATTGTCATATGAATAAAAAATAACCCAAAATTTATCTTTTAATTTATTTATGATAATTTGTAAATCAAAACCGTCATATTACATTATAGCATTATTTATATTAATTTTTACAAACTTTCAATAAAAATATCAAAAAATTTCTAAATGCCACTATTTGTTTTATTTCACAAAATATGGGCCCTCCCAATTATATACCACCCCCCTAAATATTTTAGTGTCTAATTATATTCATGAGAAATGCATGGATGTTTTGTCGGAAAAAACAAATGGAGTTAAATCGATTCTAAAAAATATTGGAATGGGCATGATATCGTAAATTCTGAAAATTTCTGGCCAGGTCTTCCCACGCTCATTGATGTTGAGACCAAACAATCGTTTTATATTTAATTTAAATCGGTGGTAGATTGTTTATAATTTGCGAAATCGGGCATTTAGTTTCTTAGACAAATTTTATTTTTTAGTAGAGAATATATATCGGAAAGAATTTCTAAGAAAAAAAATCCCTCATTTTCATAGCTCTCTATTAGATGAGACTGCATGATGTTTTCAAAGGAAATTATAAAGTGTCTATATTTTTTTTAATGGTATGTTTTTAAATAAAAGTGTAATATCTAAATCGAGCGACATCTGTAAATATTAATCCACATGATCTTTAAATCAAAATGTTCTTAATGATTTAATTATTTATTAAATATCAGTCTATCAATAAAAAAAAGGATTCGTTGGCAAAAGGACACCAACTTGATAAAAAAATATTTTAATTTATCCGAAGTAGATTTATTAATTTCAAAGTAGAATGATTTTGTTAAAATTCGCTAAACGATCGAAGCTTGCGCTTAAAAATTCGGTTTAGGCCATTTTGAATCGGCTCAAAACCTGCTAAAAACGGCATTTATAACCACTACTGGTTGGTGGTAAACCTCACATTATACTTAATAAAGTAGAAGCGGCGGCGATTTAAAAATTTCGATGGGAATTATTTTTTTCATATAAAATTTAATATTAGGTCAATAATATCTCAATTTTATAAATATTTCAATGGGTTAAGAGTCCCACCACCTCCGCGAAGTTGGCCCAACTAAAATGAAATTTTACTAGTACCGATTTTATTGGCCTTTGTTTTATTTTGAAAATATTTTTGCTATTATTTAAAAAATTCATAAAAATTGTTAAAACGTATCAGCGTCTACATGACAAGATTTTCACTGGATGCAAACCCCCTTCAAAAACCTTTGCCTACCCCCCTAAAAAATTCCAGCCTTATCATTATTTTCACCTATTTATTTATTGATACTCTTTTCAAATAATTTATAAAGGATAACTTAAATTAATCTATATCTACTATCAACTATCGATATTTTATGAATATAAAGAATTTATTTTTTAGATAATAAATTCAATTAAAACCTCCATTATTTACAATGAATTTATTATTATGGCATTATGAGCTTGCTTAAATATCTAAACCTTTTAAATGTAATTTAAAAGGATAGTTTATTTGGAAAACAATGTGTATGATTGTTTGCAATATATAGATTTGGTCGATGAATTGTATTATAATCAGTGGCGTATCCAGGATTTTCTTATGAGGGGGGGGGGGGAATTTTTGGGGGGCTTCGCCCCCATACCCCTCTTAGGTCTTATGTTTTAGCTATTCCATTAAATTATTCATAATTTAATAATAATTATATTTGTATTTCTAACTATTATTTACTAATTCGTGCTAATGGATATTACAAGCCTATTTTTTATTATTTTTACTTAGGTATATAATATATAATAAAGTTTTTAAAATGTAAAGTTGAAATAAATTTTAATGTCATTTTTTTTATAAAATTTGCTTTAAAGCTACCCTTAGCTTAAATTCTCATACAATATAAGTATAATATAATTTTTTTATTGAAAATATTAATAGTATTGTGTATAAAATATTAATGTTGTTAAACGGCTTGTTTTGAGCCGATTTTTAAAAACGGCTAACTCAATATTTTCGCCAGAAAAATATTAACTAAGCCTCGAAATTTCGATACTATATGTCTAGACCTTTGCTTCTTCTATGAGCAAAATTTTCAGGCTTGCATAATATTTTTCTGGATAAATAACTGAGTTAGCCGTTTTTAAAAATCGGCTCAAAACGAGGCGTTTAACA